GGGTGGTTATCGAAAGTCCGAAGTCTCTAACTCTAATGAGAAGAAACGCCGGAAAGGAAAAGAGAAGTTTGACACGAAGAAGGTTCAATGCTAATGTTATAAGAAGTATGACCACTTTGTTACTGACTGTTGGTCAAACAAGGAAAAAAATCATAAGAAGCAAACATAGCCAGAGGAGATTCTGGTGATGAACTTGTAATATTGATGACTTTAGAATCTGATGGTGGATATTTGGTAGACTGGTGGTATATGGACATTGCCTGCTCAAATCACCTAATTAGAAACAAACAATGGCTGATTGATTTTAACTACAGAAAGAAGACAAATATCAAATGTGCTTATGATAAGTACCTTAATGCTGAAGGAATAGAAAATGTCAAAGTCAAAGTGAAGAATGACAAAATTGTTCTGATCAAGGATGTTTGGTATGTTCCTGGCATGAAAAGCAACAAAATATTCAAATTGAACAGGGAAGCAACATAACATTCAAAGTGAATGTGAAAATAACTGAAACTAAATTCCTTAGTGCAAAAGGTGTTGAAGGTGACAGTGAGTTGTGGCACAAGAGATTTGGGCATCTGAACTTCAGAAGTTTAAGGCGTTTGAGTTTTAAGAAACTAGTACATGGCATTCCTAAGATTGTGAAACCTGAGAAGTCACGTGAGATATGCATGAAAGGAAAGATATCTAGATTTCCATTTGCATCAAAAAAGTGGCTCCAAGAGCAAAAAATGTTTTGGAAGTAGTGCATTCTAATGTATGTGGACCATTTGAAATACCTTCATTTTGAGGAAACAAGTAGTTTGTGTCATTTGTGGATGAGTTCACAAGAATGAAATGGGTAGCACTCATAAAGTTTAAGCATAAGGTGTTTGCTGAGTTTCAAAAGTTCAAGGTAAAGGTTGAAAAATAGAGTGGTCAAAAGTTTAAAGTTCTCAGAACTGATGGTGGAAAGGTGAGTACAACTCATAAGAGTTCAAAAGGGTTTGTGAAGAGAATGGAGTTGAACATGAGGTGACTGCTCCATATACTCCAAGACACAACGGTCTTACTGGAAAAAAGAAATAGGACTTTGCTTGATACGACAAGGTCTTACTGAAAGAAGAAACAAGACTTTGCTTAATATGACAAGGAGCATGCTGAAGGAGAAGAAGCTCTTTCACACCTTGTGGGGAGAAGTTGGTGTCACTGCATCATATGTGCTCAAGAGGTGTCTAACTAAAAAGTTGAAGGAAAATATTCCTTTTGAAAAGTGGCCTAGAGATATGCAAAGTGTGAGTCATTTCAGAGTATTTGGTTATGTTTGTTACAAACACGTTCCATGTACTACTAGAAAGAAGCTGGATAATAGAAGCAAAGTAATGTTACTATTTGGATACCATAATACAGGTGCTTATAAGCTTTATTGTTCAATCACTAACAAGATGGAAGTAAGCAGAGATATCATTGCGAAGAAAACAAGAGCATGGGATTGAAATAAGTCTCAATCCATCCCTGGTGCAGTGTTAACACATGAGTTAATTTCTGAAGATATTTCAGACTCTGAAGGAGAATCTGTCTCTAAAATAGATTTTGCCACCAAAGATGAGTCTAAAGAAGACTCTGGTGGAGATTATGCCTTTGAAAATGAGTATGAAGAAGAATCTGAAGGTGAATCTGATTCTGATCTAGATTTTGATGATGATCCAGAATCTGGTGGTAATAATGCCCATGAAGGTGGTCTAGCCTCTGAAGGTAGTACATCATCTGAAGAAGATTCTGAACAAGTTTAAATGCCACAAAGAATCATGCAAATACCAAGAAGATTTACATAGTTTGACAAGAAGAAATTGTGGCTGAAGACCGTGAAATAAGAACTTGAGGCTATAGAAAGAAACAAGACTTGAGAGTTAACTGAGCTTCCAAATAACAAGAAAGGCATCAGCGTGAGATGGGTTTACAAGTTAAAACGGAATCCAGATGGATCAACTGTTAAACATAAAGCAAGGATAGTAGCTAGAGGATTTCTACAGAAATCTGGATTAGATTACTTTGAGGTGTTCGCACTTGTAGCTAGGCATGAAACACTCAAATTGGTGATTGTTGTAGCTACTAATAGAAATTTTCATGTGATACATTTAGATGTGAAATATTCATTTCTGAATGGTCATTTACAAGAGGAAGTTTATATGTCACAACCTCCTGTATTTGTGAAAAAGAATCAGAAAGGGATGGTGTACAAGTTGCATAAAGCCTTGTATGGACTGAAACAAGCTCCTAAAGCTTATAATCTAAAAATTGATTCATTTTTCAAGCTACAAGGACTCATAAAATGTGAGATGGAGTATGATGTTTATGTTCAACATACATCTGATAGCAATATGATTTTGGTGTGTCTCTATGTTGATGACATATTTCTAATAGTGAGTTGTTTGGATGAGATAGTCAAGTTCAAAAATGTGTTGATGAATGAGTTTGAAATTAATGATCTAGGAAATATGGTATATTTTTAGGGGTGGAGATTATGTACTCTGATAAGTGTATAATTTTGGATCAACTAAAGTATGAACTTGAGCTTCTGAAGAGATTTGAGCTAATAAATTACAAGTCTACAATCGCACCTGCTTAAACAAATCATAAGTTTGATTCTGATGTTGAGATTGATGATGTAGATGCTACAACTTTTAAACATTTGGGATACTCATTGGGATATCTCTATAACACCATGTCTGACATCTACTATGCAGTTGGAGTGATGAGTAGGTTTATGAACAAACTAAAGTGGTTAAAATACCAAGATCCTGCCAAGATACTTATGTATATTAAGGGGACTCTGAGGTATGGAGTTTTGTTTCCTTATGGTGCTAAATTTGATTCAGAGCTGATATGTTATTCAAGCTCTGATTGGTGTGGAGACAAAGTTGACAGAAGAAGTACTTCTGGATATTTCTTCAAGTATCTAGGAGGTCTCATTTCTTGGTGCTACAAGAAGCAACCAATGGTTACATTGTCATCCTGCAAATCTGAGTATATTGCAGGTGTTTTGTTTGCGTGTTAAGCTGTTTGGATTATGAACTTACTACAGGATCTGAAGATCAACGTGATCAAGTCTGTGAAGTTGATGATTGACAACAAATTAACTATAAGTCTTGCCAATAATCTAGTGTTGCATGGATGGAGCAAGCACATTGACACGAAGTTTTATTTTCTACGCAATCAGGTTCATAATGAAGTACTTAAAGTTGTTCACTGTAGCACTTAGACGCAACTTACAGATGTACTGACTAAAGCTATTAAGACTGGACAATTTATTCATTTGAGGGATGAAATTGGTGTTGTTGATTTTAGTCTTGAATATGGATTAAGGGATGGTGTTGAAGTGTAATTCAAATTCACAATTAAGCTAACATTTCATTTTGAGTTACATTTAAATTTAATTTGAGTTTCATTTAGTTGTTCTAGTTGTATTAATACTGAACTCAAGTTTTAGTTTGTAACTAATTCATTTTGAAACCATTTTTCAGTTAGAAAGAAAAGTTAGTTAGAACTCTCTCTCTCTCTCTCTCATCTACATCTCCTTCATTCTTGTGTACCAACAGACTTGGGATGAGTTTTGGTTCAGAGAGGAAATAGATCCGAAGAAGAACCATTAGTGGATGGATAAATCAGTAACATAACTCTTATATCAAAAATTTGGTACCACGTGCATTCGAGCAAAGGAGATGAATGCATTGCATACATAGTCGCATTTGTGATTGACTATTGTTGTGAATGATTTATGTAATTGATGAATGATATTGTTGAGATGGCCTTGTTGTTTTATGCACCATTAATATTTCTGAATGTATTCTCACTCCGTATTTGTTTTTGTGTTATTCTTCACCTCTGTGATACAGATATTTAGGTATAGGAGGCTTAACTACTGCTTTCAAGTTAGAGAATGACATAGTAATCTTCTTTGTGGTTTATCGATTTGAGTCTATTTTAGATTTCGCATGTCGGTCTAATAATGTAACACTGGAATGTGTTATACTTTGTTATGCATTTTTGAAAGTTGTTGAATCATTTTCTTCATATTTTTCAATTAAAATCGTTTTTGAATTATGAGGCAATTAAGTTGAATGAGTATTTTTGAGTTCCATTGTTTAATTATGAAGTTTGAATAAGATATTTTATATTGAGAAAATGTAACACCAGTTTTGAATAAATTATTCCGCATCTTTATAAAATAAATGCTTCAAAATTTAGAGTATTACAAAGATTATTCTCACTTATAAAAATATATTTAGACCATATATTATCTGAGACAAGACTTTTAATGGTCACAATCCTTGTAAAGAGTACACTATGATTTTGGTCGGCTTAGGGTCTGGTGCAATATCAACTTTACTTGTTAGTGGTGGATCCAAACATAAATATGGTATTGCAAACGTTTAAGGAGAGATAATTAAATATAAAATAATTAATATTTAGATATACACACAAAAAAAAGTTACCAATTCATATTTGAATAATTTAAATCAAAATTATTGTACGTATCAGCCTACAAACAAACTAGAAATCTTTCATTTAAGTTTTTCATAAAATCACATTTCAAACAAAATGGACATGATTTTGGATTTTTCACTTCAGAATCCAGATTACAAACTGTTGTATAGTTCAATAACAAAAAACCAATGTATATAGATTTCTATGTCGTTATATGAATCAAGTAGAAATAAAAGAACAAACAATGGGTCATTAGATGCACGTTTGCAAAATTCAAAATACTAAACTATAGGAAATACTATTGATTAACATGGTTTCTTGTCAGTCTCATTACCATTGTCCCTCACAAACTAAACCCCTCAAAATTAATAGTATATCTGTTTTAAAATCCAAACCGAATCAGACGAATAAACCTTGAACCAACATTTACTTCAGCTAGATCTCGGTTTCGTCATGGGCTGAACATTTAAGACGGTTGAACAATGGTCTAGAGAAGTCTCATTAGTTCAATATTCGGTTCGATTTTTGAAACATTAATTCATACGGTCTAAATGAAAAGCTTCTTCCATGGCCCTCAAAATTGATAAAAGCTCTCCAGAGATCATCCCATTGGGTTCCCAGTTGCCAATTTCATTCCTATTAAAGGAAGACGAATTTTCCTCCACTTCCTCAAAAACCACAAACCTACAAACAGGACACTGACCTTTGCTTGTTAACCAAGTTACAATACAATCCTCATGAAACATGTGGTTGCATGGAGTAAGCATCACTTCTTCTTTAGCCTCAAAATCTTCCAAGCAAATAGCACATTTCATACCATCTTCATTCTTTTCTTTCACTCTCTCTTTCAAATCATTTGAAGCATTGCCTCTATAATATAAGCTCACTTTTCTAGCTAAACGCGTTGGCGCAGGGTTATAGACTACTTTCCGTAACTTGCTTAAAATATTTGATTTAGAATCTTCTACCACATGCGGGACTTGTGTGTTTGTTTGATGCGTTGATGTTGATCTTACAGGTGAATGATGCAAAAATTGTCCGAGTCTCGTTGGATTGAAACCTCTTCTTCCCATTTCTTCATTGTGAACATGAGTTTGTTGTCTTCTATGAGGTTGTGCTGGAAAACTGCAAATATTTTTCCAATAAACCATGTCTAAATTATTGATACAAACACAAACATCGTTCGCTATATTAACACCGATAGTAATTTAAAAAATAAAAATGATTGATTGTAATCACATGTATGCGTTGATGTTTGACACTACTAACACACATCTAACACCAGACACCAGACTCACCTATAGCTAAATACTTAAGAAACCTTGAAATTTGACCTTACTTTGGTGTTCTATGATGTTCTGTAGGAGTTCTTCTAACTTCCCACAACCGTAATGGATCTTGTACACCTAAACTCCTCTCATCCTGTTAACAAGAACCAAAATTACATACATACATGCAAATTTGTTATCATCAAACAATGGTTATGCCAAGAATATCATGATATACTTACATTGGCCCTAGTAGAGTGACGAGATCTGTAAAACACAGGAACTTCATTGAATTCATGAGTATTACTGGAAGTGTGAGGAGCATCATCATAGGCTCTAGAACCTGTTCTCCAAAGCCCGGGCAAAGGCGTGAAATTGTTCATGTTGCGACTCATGGTTTCACTAACTTCCTCCTCAATTGATCATGCATATATTCTTTTCTTACTTAAGGGGTGTGTGATATTGCTTCATGTGTGAACATTAAAAATTAATGGCTATGTTCATTTTATCTGTCAAATAAGAATATATGCTAAGTAATGTAATGTTGTCACTTTTATGTATTCTTACTTTTAAGATGTTTTCTATTCTGATTCAAAGCATGATGTTTACTCCAGGTTGAGACAAAAGAAATCAACAAAGAATCATGTTCTTAATGCATGGATGCTTTGTTTATTGATTTTTTATTGCGTTAAATGATGGACTTAACAGAGGTCATCATAACTGCGTTTAGCACAACAAAACTTACATTAAAAAATTATTTTTCAGTTTAATTGAGGGAACTTATTTATTTATATGGATCTGGTTATTTGTACTTTTTAAGGGGAAAAAAATAATGTTACTATTAAAGAAAAGAAGAAAAAAAACACATCTTAATAAAAAGTTATTATAATAACATTTAGTTTACAAAACATAAACTTTGCATAAAAAGTAACATGATTATCATATAAAAGAAAAGAAAACAATAAAAGTGATAGGAATGCTTGCATATTATTGATAAAATTTAGAAACAGAAGCAGGGAAGTTTCTCCCTAAAGAGCAATGATCCAGAGATTACAATTTCTGCCTAACAGAAAGCAAAACAAACTTTGGCATTAACCTCTGCGATTCTATCATATATCAATCTCAGAAAAACAACCAAAAGCTGCAGCACTACAAAGGAAACTTTTTGCTGCAACTACTATAAAAGATAGTGAACATGTACTGATTTAGTGTTTCTGAACAATGATCATTCTTTGAGACAATCTGGCAACAACCTCTTTTAGCATTTTTGACACATTTATACAAATATAAACACTAAACTTGACGAAAATATAGATATGGCAGATGTTCTTAAAGAACTAAAAATACGCTTTTTGGCCCACTGTAAAACAAAGCATATGAGAAATCAAAAGACTAAATAAGTAGCAGAAAATCACTGAATACAGAGTCTGAAACATATAATACAAATTCTGACTTTTCACAACTTGTCCTTCAAGAAGATCTTCATCCTTGATGCGTCAATTCATTCAAAGTGCCTCTGAGATTAAAAAAATGAATTTCTCATATTTTAGAACCCAAAAAGTTACAAATAAATTTAGAAAAGGAACTAATATAATAGGTTCACTATATTTCATATTTTAGAATCAAAAAAATAAAAAATAAATTTAGCAAAGGAACTAGCATAGCAGGTTCACTATAACTCAATTCTTACCTGCAGCAGGGAGAATCCCAGAATTTGCAGCCTGAAAAACATCGACAAAAATTAGACAAAAGCATTATGTGTTCCACCTAACAATGAAACAACCACTAATAACTAGGAAGTGTTCGCTATTATTGCCCTATTATGAAAAGTGTATGTGTTTTACTCACTTAATCCTCATTCGATTCATCATCAGAGTCAGATTCATCATCAGAGTCTTCATAGTAGCTGTGACTAAAACAGTGAAAACAAATATATATTAATGAGAAGCTCAACTAAATTAAAAATCAAGATCTCAAACCTCATTATAATAACACACACATCTTCCAAATTCAACAATATATCCCCAACAACGAAAAACAAATGAAAAGAAAATTTAAGCAAAACAATTCATTCCTATGCAAAATTGAATGAAAAATTTGTACTTAACATTGTTCAAAACATTCTGTAGCATCACCCAACAACTAATATCTAAGCATTGGTCGGAGTCACGGTTATGTATACTGCTGAAACATAAAAGTTCATTCTCGTACTGTACATTATCCTAAAGACCTAAATAAGCACTCTATAAATAGCCTATGAAGCAGGGACTCAGACACAGACACCAAGACACGACACGAACACTGACAATTTGACACCGATAATGTAATAATATACGACACCGACACTGCTACATATATGATAGTATTTGAGTTTCATTTTTCCATCAATTATTTAAAGAGTTAAAACTATATTAATGAAAATTAACATTTTTAATTCTTCATTAATAACATTGCTTTAGTATATGTTTAACCTTTTGATTAGTGGTATATTTGTTAAAAAAATGTATAAGGCGTGTTGAAATAAAGAAAAAAAAACACTTTTTATTGCAAAACACTTGTATGAATGGTTAGACATGTGTCTAATGAGTATTGGACACCGATTTAAAGAGTGTTGAATCAAAGAAAATAACTATTTTTCTGGAGGACACTCGTCTGACTTTTCCGACACTTGTTTGATTTTTCCGATACGTGTCGTACGAGTGTCATACAAATGTCGGACACCGACACGTATCGGACCACGACGCGTGTCGACATAGTAAATAACTAAGTATATGGGACTTCTCAAGTGAGAACACTTAATTATCGTGAGGAATGAAAACAATTAATCTTAACCATTAAATTTCAATTCATTGATTTTAATGAACTAGATTGATTTTTCTTTCTATATCTTTATTTGTAATTTATATAGGCTTCACTAAGAACTCAATCCTGTGGCTAACATACTATGGTCTAAAAAAAGGTAGGATGTTATATTGATCTCCACTAAATATGGGGCATTTTTTAAGATAAACTAACGAATTGGATTTCATATTCATTTTCACAAAAATTTAAAAAGTATAAACACCTGAGAGAAGATTTCAAACAGCAAGGCAATGAGTTCAATATCAGATCTTCACTAGCCAAGTAGCTAAATAAGAACCACTAAACAAGTCAATTGACAAAAATAATATTATTGTTAGCCTTGAGACACGGCAAATACACGCAATGGTGCAGAATATAAAACATACCGCCCTAGGACAGTTAAGAACTTCTAGTTTAGGAGTCTTTTGGAGAATGTCTAGTAATACTTCATTAGCATATTCGGGACACTCATCAACATTAAGATGTGTCAAAGTGTGAAATGTAGGAAGGAGATGGAGAGTATCCTTTGTAGGGTAAAGACACTAGTAATGGAAACAAAACTACACTTAGGGTTGTGATATAGAGAAAATATGTAAGGATTATAAGAAACATGTCAATCTCATTAAGTATTATCACATACAATATTTATAAAAGAAAATTAAGATGATGAGCAAATAGTCAAACATACCTCAAGAGTATTATGAGGTAGTTTGAGAGACTTGACACTACTAAGTCCACTCAATAGATCCATCGCACACTGAGCAGCGTATGGTTCTCTAGCTATATATTCACATCCAAGATCAATAAATGCATCAACTATGGAGGTCATGTTAACAGGGATAACTTTTATTGTTGGATAGCAATAGCAGCTAAAATATAAAAGATTCACTGCATCAATCTTGAGTGTCATATTATCATCACGATTTCCATTATAACAGTCAAAATCGATTGTCAACTTCCTTAATGTGGAAATTGCAACACTGATATGCATTATGTTCTCCCAATAGCAATCATACAAAGTCAAATCTTGTAAGATAGGGCACCCAGAGAATGAACTGACTTTTCATTTGCAAAGGTAACCTCTGAAACTGTTAATGTTGTTAGGTTAGGAAAACAAATACCACTAGGAATATGTAGAGTGAACCTGAGTCCTAACCACATTACATTCAATGACGGGAAAGTTGAGAAACTATGGGATAACACAGGCTTATCATTTGGATCATCTAGTAAAAGTTCAAGATATTGAAGTTTGTGCTTCGAAGCAGAAGATATTAAAGAAATAACTTTATCTGCATCAATGGTATTTCCAAATATTACAACACATAGACTTTCAAAAATCTGTTTTTTTTCTAAAATAAAAAACTGATTTGTTTTTCGACAAATTTTTTTTTTTTTGAAAAAAAGAAATATTTTTCGAGAAAAAAACATGATTTTTTTCTGAAAAAAAAACCGACTTTTTTTTTTGAAAAAAAAATCAATATTTTTCAAAAATTAAAATATCAATTTCTTTTCTTCAAAATACAAAAAATGATTTTTTTTAAACAAAAAGTTAAATTTTTTTCATGAATATATTAAAAGGGCATATAATTTTTCAAATTTTGCTTTGTATGAAATTGGGATTCCCTTGTAGTTATAAAATTAATCAGTGGAAGAAACTTTCAATTCACTGCAAAATTCACATAATAAAAGCGATAATCATTAAAAAAAAGGAAAACATTGTTTTCAACTTCTACGCAAGATTCATGTTCTGAATCGAATGCTTAAGCAAAAAGGGAGGGATAGAGGAAGCAATTACCTTGACAATGAAGAGAGCAACGAAAGAGGCAAAAGAGAGAGTGTGACGATACTGCAGCGGATCAGATTGAAACCTAATTTTGATGAATTAACTTCACACCAACATGACAAACTTGTCAACTTGTGAGAAGTTAAGAGTGAAGTTAGGGATGCTGAAATAAATCCGTTATTTGAATAATTTATATTTATATTTAAATTTGGTTATTAAAAATTAGTTAATTATTAGTATGATTTTAATTAAATTTATATTTTGAATATATTTTTAATAAAAATTAAATTAGTTAAATTTTTTTATAATTTTTTTTAATTTTAAAAAATATATTTTTAAGTAAATAATTTTTTTTAAATTAAAAAAAAATTGTTTATTTTTAAAATAAAAAAGGTTTTTTCAAAAATTTTAATTTTTTATTTTATTTTTGAACGTAAATATTTTTTCTTTAAAAAAATTATTATTTGTAAAATAAAATAAATTAAAACTAATTATAAAATTGATTATGGATATAACCGGTTAATAAATGGTTTATAACCATTTTACAAAAATAAAAACCGGTTATAACATATAAATTATTTATGGTTATAGATTGGTTATGAAAATTAACCGTCCGCGAGCATCCCTAGTGGACTATGGTGGACTCAATTATAACGTATTATTACGAGTTAAACAAGTTTTTTTCAAGTCTTTTGTGGGCATAAGCCTTTCCTTATCAATTGGCATGGCAACATAACCAGCATTCACGGGTAATCACTCGAACCCGTTTTG